AGTAATCTGAAAAGGACCCTGCAAGGTGATTCTCTCTACTCCTACGGGATGAAGTCGGTGGGCATTACACCATGGATCCACCACACCCAAGTCAAGAAGGTGGAAGCCACAGGCGCTGCTGCCGAACGGACTGTCTCCAGACGATGGACCCATTGAAATTAAGGTTTTACTGGGCCTGGGGCCCTTCCATTCCCTGCCCCTCTACCTCCTCCTGACTTGTGTTTGGTATGAATACAGGGTTATGGTCCAACCCTCATGGCCCTCTGGCCTGGGCCTGGATACCCAGGAAGATAGTAGAGGAGAGGTTTTCTAATGCAGACCAGCAACCCGTATTCATCTTGACCTTTGCTCACAGAGGCCCCCTTTAAATGTCTAGTTGTATTGTAGAAAGGAAAGATATGGGGGTTTATCTTTTGAGATAGGAACACAGAGGTTACAATTCTATGCATGGCCTGTGACTGGGCCCCCCTAATTGTCATGAACAAAAAAACTGAGGCTTCCTAAAAAAAAAAAAAATCCTTTGAAAAGATTCTGGCCTTTGGAAAACAGGAAAAGCCTGGGGAATCAGACTTTATGCCACAGGAAGGAACTCTGGGGATAGAGTTAATCATTCCCAGCCAGAATTCAGCCAGGACTGATGGTTATGCTTAGACACCTAGCCCTGTACTACAAAGGAATAGGAACTAACCAGACTGTCAGCCCATTGACCGGCAAAAGTCATGTGACTGGGGGCAGGTAGAATTAACATTCAAGGACTTAACCTAGGCACACCCTACTGTTCTGATGCCTGCTATTCTGCCTTATGGGTTAATTTATTTGGACAACAACAATATTATGGAGCCCCCCGAGACTACTTGGTGGGCGTGTACCAATGGTTTAACTAAATGTGCCTCTTCTGATGCTTTCCAGACTAAACAGACAAGTTGATCAGGACCCAGAGATATTAAAAGTTTCTATTTCTGAATTAGAACAAGAGTTCTATTCCCTTACAAAAATGATCCTACAAAATTGAAAAGGCTTAGACTTACTTCTCATAAGATAAAGGAAACTATGTATATGTGTGGCTTTAGGGCAGCGGGGCGGGGCGGGGCGGGGCGGGGCGGGGCGGGGCGGGGGGAGCCTGTTATTTCTACACTAATTGATGAGGAATAATTTTTAAAAAAGTCTTGCCATGGTTGGAAAAAACAAAAACCTCAAAAGAGAAAGAGATAACGACATAAATCAGAGAGTTGGTACCAGTCTGTTCTCTTGGTCTCCCTGGCTAACTACTCTGCTATCAGCACTGATGGGGCCTTTTCTCATTCTAATTAGATTAACAGTGAGACAACGTGCAAGAAGCCTGCTAGACTTCACTGCTGTTAATCTGTAACAATGACTCTGGTAACAAACATTAAGTCCTCTGCCTTGTCTGAACGTGTATAGACTTGATTCTAAGTATCTGATGGTTTAGTATGGTTTTTTTTGTTTGTTTGTTTGTTTTTTTAACATGAATCTTTATTGGCCACAGGTACTTGACGGGGATGAAGCGGGAGGAGTGGGTGGACCTGGTGCTAGTCTGGCCGTTGCAAAGCTTTCTTAGACTACAAATTGCAAAATGGTTCCTTGCAGTGGGCTGCAGATGGCACCCCTGACCTGTCAGGTAGGCTGATTTCCCTGTGAGGCCCTGTGGTGTCCCTAGGCACAGATGGCTAAGCACCCAATCAAGGAAGTGAGACTGACTGCCTTCTCTGCAGGTCTGCCGGCTCTTCCTGTTTCAAATTTTCTCCTAGGATTACCCCCAAACATGCTTTCTGGCCCCTCCAGCTGCCTTCAATTCTTATCATGATATACCTTCGTGGTCAAAATTTTCTACAGTTTTGTGGGAGAATTCAAGGGACCAAAGCTGATGGACACAGGTTAATTGGCTGAAGAAAACGACCATGTAATTCCCACCAGCATGAATCCCTTCTTCAGGACCCAGTCTCCTCCAGAGTCTGCCAAATTTTTATTTTAATTTAATTAATTTTTTTTAACCATCCTTATATATTCAAAGTAACTTAAACATTTTATCTATGCTTTCAAGAGTTTTCTACTGGGACATGTTAGTGCCATACTAACAAATCTTGGTTTTTCCCACCAGGAACTTTCTCACCTGACTTTCACATATTTTATCAGCCCATCTCCATTCATTTGTCTTTCTGTTTGGATTAATTTTTCCTCTCTGTCTACATTCCTTTTTCCCTTTTTGACTTTACTGTGTTAATCGGGATTAAAATTATTCTATATTCCCAAACAATTTGGATTGCCAGTTATAGAGGCTGCTTAAGTAATTTCTAGTGTATTTGAGAAATTTCAGCATGGTCCTTTGAACTAATCTTTTTTTAGTTGCTCTCTCTCTCTCTCTCTCTCTCTCTCTCTCTCTCCTTCCTCCCTTTTCCCCCTCCCCCAGCCACCTCTCTGGCCCTGCAGAAGAAAATCTGAAGGAGAATCGGTTCTTTCTTTCTAATGTGGGTTCCAGGAACTGAACTCAGGGCATCCGGCTCAGAGACAAATGCCTTGATCTCCTAAGCCATCTCTGTAGAGCTTAGTTCCTAAAATAAATGTACACTTAAATATTTGCTGGGAAGTGAAGGAGCTTATAGAATTATACTCCATTTATATTGAATTATCTCACATGTCTGTTGTTGTTAGCTTTGCCAGGTATATAAATTTTAAAATCATTATTTATATAATATAAATTATTATTTTGTAGAATGCTTATTCATTTAGCTTCTCATTTTTGATTCTTTCTTACATTTCTGTTGTATCATTTAGGGGTATTTTTTCTTCTGCTTAACATCTACCTATAATATTCTGTAATTTTAAATCTTCTGGTGACAGATTCTCAAAATTATATTTTCCCTTTTATTTTATTTGTATACTGAGGGTCATTTTTGCTGAGTATAATTCTGTGTTGTTAACTGTTGGGCATATTTAAAGTGCATTGGTTCTTTCAAAGTGTTACTTCTTTTCCCTTTTATATTCCTAATTACTCTGTTCTTGTCTATTTTTTTCTAGAATCTAGATGTCTCTGGTCTCCCCTGTCTCAGTAGTTCTCTGATGCTTCAGTCTGATTGAATATAAAATTATTCAGTTTCTTTTTCATTTGTTCCTATAAGGAAGTTACAAACTAGTTTAAGAATGTTGAAAATATAAATCCTACATGTGTAGATATCTACGATACACACATAGGTATATATGTTTATTTGTGTTTATATGTACATTCAGTATATATATTTAATTTTTAATTTTATGTGTATAAGTGTTTCTCCTGCACGTATGTTTATATACCATTTGCATGCCTGGTGCCTAAGGAGATGTCAGATTGCTTAGGATTGGAATTACAGATGGTGGGGAGGCACCATGTGGATGCTGGGAATTGAACCCTGGGACTTAATTTCATAGTGCACATAATGTATTTTTATCATAGTCACTCGACACTACTGCTTCTAACTCCTTCCAGATCCACCCCCATTTCTCTTCCAACTTCCTGTTCTGTTTTTAAGGGTTTTTTTGACCTAATGAGTCCAACTGACACCGCCCATAAACTCAAGGGTGTGGGAGCACCCACCAGAGCTCCTTAGACCTACCAGGGGCCACACCTTAAGGAAACCAATCTCTCCTTACGACAAAACCCACTGGCTGTCAACAGCTCCCCAGCTAGTGATATGGGCTGGTGAGACTTCCCTGTGGCCAGCTGATGCTGACTGGCAACATAATTTGATATATATTTTCTTTTAGAATAAATTCTTGTGGCTGATACACAGAAGTTCTAGTGATTTACTTTTATAGGATTTCCCAGCAGCACACATTCAAATCAGACGATTGTAAGGAACTTATTGGATAGTCTATATGCCTCCCCTTCATTGTTAGTCTGAATTTGCACCAAATGTAGATGAACATCTGGTGACTACTATCCAGTATTTGCTCTTTTGGTGAGTTCTATTTGATCAAGAATGTTCTTTCCTAAAAAAAAAAATAGTTTCCTATTTTTAACACTGTTAGAAATTGAGCTAACTTGAAAGGCCTTTTTCTGATTGATCAGGGTAGTTATGTAATTCTTTAAAATGCATTTTCAGGTGTGATGGATTACATGAATATATTTTCTAAAGTCAAAACATATAACCATGGCTGACTGAAACTCAACCAGGTCATAACATTAGTTGCAATTTCAGTAAGACCCTATTTTTGGTATAAATTAATGAGAGTATAAATTAAAGCAGTTATGTTTGGAAGCAGTATGGCACTGTCTTGTCTGTTTGCTCTGTTTTAAACTGTATCTACTCAGACCTTAGGTCCAGGGAATTCACTGTGTGTAGATCACAAAAGACCTCTTACTGAGGTCCATAAAAAAAAAAAAACCCTGATAAAATTGTATTTCAGTGGACTATGTAATTCTGTATGTGAATAACATGGACATTAATTTGTATTACTAGTTATAAAATCATTAAGAAAATCTCCTGGAAGAAGTCATCTGGCATTCAGAAGCCATCCCCCCAGGGCTCTCGTTCAAGGGAAGAGCTAAGTGGGGGAAGTAACAGCGTGGTAAATCTTCCCCACCACCGTTCTTCCTGTATAGTAAACACCTTCACAAAGCAAAACGTCCAAAGACAAATTTTAAAAGATGCCACTGCTTTTCTGACTTAAGAAGACAACCTTCTACGGAATGGCACCAGACCAGCAGGACAACTCCCACCTTTAGAAAGCTTTCCAGACTAATTCTCAAACACACTGAGCTTTCTCACATTCCAAGGTCCCATGGCATATTCACATCTACCCCATCAGTATACTATCACACAAGAAAACCAAGCTAAGCAGTACGATCAGCTGCAAAAACATATTACTGATATTTGCTGTGGGGCTTTTCCCCGGGTAGATGTGACAAGCATCTGCTCATGCCAGATACTGCACAGAGAGCAGTCAAAGGCCCAGTCCCTCCCAAGTCTATCTAAGTGAACCCATGGTTCTACAGGATTACTTACAGGAAGGAGCATGGTGACCCAAAGCAGTCCTGTCACCGGGAACCCACCGCAGTGTGGGTGAGAACTGCATCAACTGTCCCTGCTGCTCTCTGACGGAACCTGCAGGCAGCTCCTCTGGGCCATCAGTTGTTTATTGCTTTTACAACTTTTGGGAGGAGCCTTGCAATCTTGCAGCTTTCTGAGCTTGTAGAACTTTTTTTAGATTCTGGTCCTGAGTCCTCGGGACTCCCTTCTAGAAAGGCAGGTTTTAATTTGAAGGAAATAGTTACATGACCCTTTGTAGCAGAACCAACCAAATATTGTAGAAAAAAATTAGTAAAAATAAAGGATGCAGAGAAAACAGCCTTTCTTTTGATTTGTATTTAGTACAAATAAAACTCTGCCAAACTTACCTTCCTCCTTTTCGTCTATCTGTAACAGCCATTTCCTTTTCCACTCGATGCTGTAGTGTCTGGCGAGACATAGGTGTGATATGTCCTCCTTCTTTGGCCTATTTTAACTTTCAAAATTAATGTAGTTAACAATGAGAGCTTTGTGTTTGTGCAATAAGTTGAACGACAGGGAAGGAAGGGCTTTATTGACTGACAGAGAAAGAGAGAGCAAGGGAGGGGGGGCAAGGAGAGAAAGAGAAAGAGGGAGGAAGAGAGAGAGGAGAGAGAGCAGAGAGAGAGAGAGAGGGAGAGAGGGACAGAGAGGAGGGAGGGGGAAAGAGATAAAGCACTGGAGCAAGTCAAGACAGCAGAGCAGAGGAAAGAAAGACCGGAAGGACATGAGTCACCATTTCCCTTCGCTGCATTGAGTTCTTCTTTCTTGTTAAGCTTCTCTTTCATTACAACACCCAAAATGGGGGAGGCGGGCTAGAGATCAGCCTTGATTTGGTGACAGACCCTAACAACTAGCAGCTGTTTCCATGTCTGTGGACAGAAGCAAGGGACTTAATACCTACCCCAAAGGGACCCTTGAATGCCTTAGGTCCAGTATGACAGTAGGAAGGGTTACCAAATGGGAGTCACTAAATACATATAAAAACTCACACCCCCAAAACAGGGCGGGAGTCTCCTAGCCCTGGAGTCTTTCCTCTCCCTGGGGAGCGGGGACAGTCTGTAATGCTTGCCATGAAGTTTGCTTTTGTTTGCTCTGAGCTCTTTTAATTCTTCAGTCTATGGACAGAAAGAAGCCACATGCTAGCCGGCATCAGTTGTCACCAAGCAGCAGCAAGCTGTCACCTCAGCAGTGAAGCCTATAGGGTTCTTGGTCTCCATCCTGACAGCTTAGGGAGGGTCTAACTCACTCCCAGCCCCACAGGGACACAGAGAAGGTCTCAGTTGAAGGAGAATTCCAACAGAAAATTCTGTCCTATTCATCGTTTAAAGGACTGCTAGAAGAATCTGATTCATGTAATGTGTCTTTAAGGAAGGGGTAGGGAGAAAAATTCCATGGCCAGTGCAGTCTTGAGCATCACAGGGACCTAGAAAGGAGGGGAAGGGTAGACAGAGAAACAAGACTCTGCGTTCACTTCAAGAATGAATACTTTTTATGTTTCCCTTCGCTGTCTATACATTGTTGTGTTAGCGACTGGAGAGAGCCTTGCCAGCAGAGCTTGAGCGAACAGTGCCTTTAACCTCCTTCTCTGATTTTTCCTTCTGCACTTTGCTGGCTTTGTGGCTTTGTTTTGTCCCAAGGGCATTCCTCCCAGACTTTATCTAGTGTTAATCAGATTTGTTCATTAGTCACCAGGCCCTATCTGGATCAGAGTTTGTGCTTGAGTGATGAACTGCTTGAGTAATAAACATCTGGACTCTTAGGGAGTAAGTACAGAAGAAGGAGGGGGAGTGAAATAACAATAAAGACATCTGAGCAAGTCATAAGAAAACACGCTATTAGCATTATTCATAATAGCCAGAACCTAGAAACAACCTAGATGCCCCTCAACCGAAGAATGGATAAAGAAAATGTGATGCATGTAAACAATGGAATACTATTCAGCAGTAAAAAGCAATATCATGAAAATCTCAGACAAATAGATGTAACTAGAAAATATCATCCTGAAGGAGGTAACCCAGACTCAGAAAGACAAACATGGTATGGACTCACTCATATGTGGATACTACATGTAAAACAAATGATAATCAGACTACAGCCCACAGCTCCAGAGAAACTAGCTAACAAGAAGACCCCTAGAGAGACTCATGAATCGCCCTGGGAAGACGAAATAGATGAGATCTCCATGAATAAACTGGGGGTGAGGGGGAACAGTAGGGGATAGGGGATGAGAACATAAGTGAATGGGATGGTCCACCTGGAACATGGATGGAGTGGGAGAGCAATAAAAAAGATACCTTGATAGGGAGAGACATTATGGGGATAGGGAGAAACTTGGTACTAGGGAAGTTCCCAGGAATCCACAATGAACACCCCAGTTTAGACTACTAGCAATAGTGGAGAGGGTGCCTGAGCTGGCTTACCCTGGTAATCAGATCGGAGAATACCCTGACGGTAATCATAGAGCCTTCATCCACTAACTGATGGAAGCAGATGCAGAGATCCACAGCCAAGCACCAGGACGAGCTCCAGGAGTCCAGTCGAAGAGAGGGAAGAAGGATTCTATGAGCAAGGGCTGGCGGGGAAGGAGGGGTCAAGATTATGATGGAGAAACCTACAGAGACAACCATATCAAGCTAGTGGGAACTCATGAACTTCAAATCAACAGCTGTGGAACCTGCATGGGACTGGACAAGGCCCTCTGCATAAGTGAGACAGTTGTGTAGCTTGATCTGCTTAAGGATCAGGCAGTAGGATCAGGCTCCATCTCTGGATCATGAGCTGGCTTTTTGGAGCCCATTACCTATGGTGGGACACCTAGCACAGCCTTAAAGCAGAAGGAGGGGCTTGGACCTGCCTCAACTAAATGTACCAGGCTCTGCTGACACCCCCCATGGGAGGCCTTACATTTTTGGAAGAGGGTATGGGGGATGGGTTGGGGGAGAAGGCTAGTGGGGAGGGAAGGTTGGAAGGAAGAGGGGGATCTGTGATTGGTATATAAAATGAATAAAAAAATTTCTTAATAACAAAAGTAATCATGCTATTAATTATCAAAATAACCCTATAATACACATCATTTTGTATATAAATATGCATATAGAATTTAAATTAAGTTTTCTAAATTGGGTTACCAATGCTCCCTCCAAAAGCCAAAGACCATCTAACAAAACCCCCTATACTAGACATGAGGAGCCCTCTTTTGAGCTGTTGGTCAGGGCTGTCCAAGAGAATCCAAAAACATACAGCCTATTGCTAGTGCCCTTGGTTACTCCCCAGAGGTGGAAAGTAAGTCCCTACTGCTGAAGATACCATGCAGTTCAGAAACAGGGCCAGAGGCCCCTGAGCTGGAACTGACCTTCTTGAGGACTAGCTGTTATAGTGCCAGAGAGGCTTTGCAACCTTCCAAAGGAGGGAAGCCACCAACAGTCCTACCCCATTGATGTCTATGAACCACAACAACGACCAGCCTGGTACAATAATTCTAAGGGTACAGTAGAGGCACACATGCCTTGTCCGTAACCAACAGCTCTCCATCTGGACTGAAAACTCACTGAACAAGAGGGAAACCATGCCTGGTAATAGAAACCTAGCTGATTCCTCACTGCTGGTGAAGTCATGGATCTTGGAGGAGAACCTATAAACACAACTTTACTAAACCAGCATAATCCCTAACAACAATCTATAAACATTTGTCCTTCTACCCACAGATAATTATAGTCTTCACTCCTCATCAAGGAAACTTCTCTTTGCAAGAGATGGAGACCATTAAAGAAAACTACAAGTAATCAAAACGCAGAGTTGTAGAGCCCAGTCCCAGGGGATAAGACACAGCTCCCCCTAACTAAGGCTTAGGGAACACTGTTGAAGAGGAGAATATATAGAAAGATTGTGAGAGCCAGGATCAGGGAGTCTGCTCTGAGATTGTGGTCTCCTGCTAATGTCAAAAGCTATACTCATAAATCTTACCACTATAACTGTGAACTGAACCAGGAAGATACCAATGGACATGCCACAGTGGATGGGGAAAAGCCCATGAGGCCTCAACCCTACACAAAGAAGTACAGGCAACTAAGAAATGCCTGGAGGAGGGAAAATGGTCTTCCTCAGGGAAGATCAGCCAATTGGTTATCCAATGCCAAATGGTCAGTCCTGAAAATATGCATATGCAACATTGTATAGACTGTTATACAAATACAAAATACAACATTGTATAGACTGAGCAGGTTATATTTGGGAATATAATAGCACTTAATAAAAAAAAGGAAGCCATTATTTGAAAAAGAGTATGGAGGGGTATATGGGAGGATCTGGAGGGAGTAAAGGAAAGGAGAAACAATGTAGTTGTATTATAATCTCACAAATTAAAGAAAAAAAAAAAAAAGAACTTCTCAAAGCAAGGACTCAACCTCTCCAAGTGCAGGAATCTTCCTCCCACAATCCCTTAAAATTTCCTGAGATGATGTTCTGCTGTGGGATGTTCTATATGTTAAATGTGTTGCTCTGGGGCTGGAGAGATGGCTCAGAGGTTAAGAGCACTGACTGCTCTTCCAGAGGTCCTGAGTTCAACTCCCAGCAACCACATGGTGGCTCACAACCATCTGTAATGAGATCTGGTGCCCTCTTCTGGTCATACATGCTGTATACAAAATAAATAAATCTTAAAAAAAAAAAATGTGTTGCTCTGACTGGTTAATAAATAAAACACTGATTGGCCAGTAGCCAGGCAGGAAGTATAGGCGGGACAAGGAGAGAGGAGAATTCTGGGAAGTGGAAGGCTGAGGCAGAGAGAGACTGCCAGCTGCCGCCATGACAATCGAGATGTAAGGTACCGTTAGGCCACGAGCCACGTGGCAACTTATAGACTAATAGAAATGGGTTAATTTAAGATATAAGGACTACATAACAAGAAGCCTGTCATGGCTATACAGTTTGTAAGCAATGTAAGCCTCTATGTGTTTACCTGGTTGGGTCCAAGTGGCTGCGGGACTGGCGGGTGAGAGAGATTTGTCCTGACTGTGGGCAAGGCAGGAAAACTCTACCAGCAATATTCCTTTTTGAAAGTGGGAACACTTTTCAGCAAGAGAGATAACTTCTAACTCACCTGCCCAGTTGGACTTGAATGAAACCATCCTCCCCATCAACCCCCATCTTGCAGATTGTTCTGCAACAGGTTGCTGGTAGAAGGACCTGCAGGCCCCAGTAGTGACTCTAGTTCATTCCTCTCCTGCAATGGGTCTTAGGTCTTAGAGGTGGTGACACAGATTTCTGATTATTTTCTTCCATTTATGACTGAGTGTTGGGCCACCTTAACAGTCACCAGACATAACCAGCTTGACTGGATGAGTGCAGTGACCACCACCCTCTGCAGAAATGAGGTTTCCCTCCATGCTGCAGGCTAATGGCACTAGCAATCTACGGGTAAGAACAACATCTTCAAAGGCAATTTTGTAAGGATCCTGGCTGGAATATGCAGGTATTTGAAAGGGACTCTGTGCCTTTCTTTTTTTTCCTTTTAGCTGTCAGACTACAGCAACAAATGTTTCCAAGAAATTGGAGTTTTCCAGGAACCTCATGCTGGGTATCAGAAAAGGTGATACCATTCTGAGGAAGACAGTATCTTCCAGAAAAATATTTCACCCAGTTCTGACAACTCATCAGGCCACATACATGAGACACGGAAGCCCAGATAAGGGTGGGTGGGGCCCTATCTTGACTGGTATTGCTTAGCTATGTATATTTTTCTGCCCTCTGTTTAACCTAAACCTCCAGTTCGGATCCTGAAGATGGAGTAGAGTTGAGAGGATGTCACTAACCTCTTTGTTCCTTCATGGGGTCCTCAGCTCTCCCACAGGTCTTTGCCTTGGCTCACAGTGTCCGAAGTTCCTTCTTGTGGAGCAGGTCTGTTTGTGGTGCCCATCATAGCGGCACCACGACTTCACCAGTGGGCAGTTCTTAACCAGCAGGTTGAGAGTGTGACCGAGTCTTTAGCCAGGTAGAACTACTGGTGACAAATTTCCCCAGTAGCCTGTGTAGTAGCTACAAAAGGTAGGTACCAGGGAGTCCTCCTTCCCTAGGGTCTCTCTTTACCACTTCTCTAATGGCTGCCTCTTTTCCAGACTACTTGAAATCTTCTCTAAGACACTAACTCATTAGACAATGCCACATAACACTCTGCCACACTATTCCACAATATACTTTAACACAGTACTATTTTTATTAATTCATACATGGATACATGTGTTCTGGTAATTTTTACCCACATTTCCCCTAACTCCTATCTGATCAACCTACCCCTTCCCAGGTTCATGCCTTTTTTTTTTTTAACTCACTGAGTCCAATTTGTGCCAGTCAGCTACTCAAGAATGTGGGTCATTCACTCAGGCATGACATAGTACTTTGTTTTTAATCATTACATAATGTTTTATAGTTTTTTTTCAGTTACCCTGTCCCTTCATTAGTTGGTAATGTCCGATGGTATATATTTCAAGTTTTTTTTTTTTGTTAAAAAGTAAAAACATTTTATTTATGTGTACATCTACATGAGTTTATGTGCACCATGGGTGTGCAGGCATCCTTAGAAGAGGGTGTCAGATCACTAAAAGTTACAGGCAGTTGTGAGTGACCTGATGTGGGTGTTGGGAGCTGAACCAGGTCTTCTGCAAGAGGAGTTAGTACTGTTAATTGCTGAGCCAAATCTCCAACCCTCACAATATCTCTAAAGATTAGAACAGTGTCTGAACACGGTAGGGCATGAATAATTGTTTTTGATCCCCCTGATTGTACACTAGACACTGGACTGTGAACAATGAGTCCCAGGCAGATGTCGAGAGAATGTATCATCCCTAAGGACACAGGATACAGATTTAAAGTGTTCTGCTGTACTGGTTTCCTTCCAGCTGCAGTGAGAGGTGGTCAAGTTTCTAAGGATCCTAAGGTTCAGTGAATAGTGCAGAGTTAAAGAAGAATGTAGTGTTGAAGGCCTTGATGAAAATTTCATTGCCTAATTCAACTACTGAAATGAACAGTTAAAAATGTTAACATGTAAGTGTAGGTGATGCTAATCAATGTTGTTGATTGTAAGAAATCAAAATAGCTTTGAAAGTGTATCAAGGTATCAAATTACCTTTTCAAACCAAGGCTCACCCAGAAGACCAACACACACAGGTAAAAGTGACTGATGCTTTGGTTGAGGAGGTACAATGGAACCTGAACTGCACCTACCAGACACCTCTCCTGACTCCAGCGTCTCTAGACAGTGTCCTGAGGACCACCAAAGCTCCCTAGAACAAAGTTTTGTGGTTGTGAATCTTAGACTAATTCCTTCAATTGGGAAATCACGACCTAAGAAGGTGACCTGACATATCCAAAGTCTACAAATTATAGCTTGTAACAGGACCAAAGTCTCTGAACTCCAGGTCACTGTGTTTCACTCTGTTACCTTCTGTTTTGAAAGGACCAAGCAGAAGCCATAAGAGGCTGTTCAGTCTTCTCTCAGAGATCAGGCCTCAATTTCAGTTTCCTGAGACTTGAGCAAGCAGTTTCTGGGAGGGCTATGACTTAGTCTTTGCAGTAGCTCCCTTTCTGCACGTACTCTGACTGCTCAAGGTTCAGCCAGTTGTTTACTGTCTGGGACCCTTCACCAACTTAGAGCTATGTGCATGAGTCAATGTGAACGTGCTAGGCCAGCCAGTTTCCATGGCAGCTCAAGGACAGAGCCTGGGCCACTGAGTCATCCCCCACAGTCAGTAGGTGCAAGGCCAGCAAGCCTCCATGGCAACTCAAGGACAAAGCCTGGGAGTTGTCCAGGCTTGACCCCAAAATGATAACTGTAACCTCCAACTAGTAAATTCAAAGGTTACACACCCTCATCCACTCATATGACACCAAGGCTTCTGCCAACCTGTTTGCAGTTTTCCCCGTTAAAAAGCCCTTATCCTGAGAGCACAAGGCCATCCTCCTCCACGCGCTGTGTCAGATGCTGGATGTGGACCAAGTGCAGGCTTGCTTGTTATTAATAAACCACTGTGTATTTGCATCTGATATCGGCTCTGTGGTGGTCTTACTGGGGGTCTCACGACACGGCCATGACAGTTTCTGATGAGACTATGGTCAGCTGGAAGCTCACAGAGCGCAGTCCTACAGGAGAGGACAGTCAGAGGACTTTTGAGATCCTGGAGCCTCGCTTGGTTTTCTGCTCTTCTTTGACTGTAGAGGGATAGCCTACCATGTAAAAATCACCTGGAGCCAGTAGTTAATGTTAGAAAAGAAATGAGACTCTTTATTCGAAGAGTTGTTTTATAAGACCCCACCAAGCTGATATGACACCTTGATATAACTGTTGAATGCAAGCAAAACAGTTGGAGTTTTAAAATATCCATGCTACAGTCCACAGCCCCAGAGAAGCTAGGTAACAAGGAGGGTCCACATGGGGGATGGGGACACATGGATTTCCCTGGGAAGGGGAAATAGAAGAGATCTCCAGGGTAGACTGGGGTCCTGGTGGATTGTGGGGGTTGGGGGGAGAGAGAGTAATGAAAGATGTCTTGGGGTCAGGTAATAACCTGGTGCAAGAGAGACTCCTACAAATCTCCAAGGGTGACCCCAGCTGAGAATCCTAGCATTAGTGGATATGTAGCCTGAACTGGCCATCTCCTGTAATCGGATTGGTGACTATCCCAAATTGTCATCAGAGAGTCTTCTTCCAGTGACAGATGGAAACAGATGCAGAGATCCACAGCCAAGTACTGGGCTAAGCTGAGAGCATCCTGTTGAAGGGAGGGAAGGATTGTGGGAGCCAGAATGGTCAAGGCCATTACAAGGGACCCAGAGAAACAACCAAACTGGACTCTCAGCAGCTCACAGGCAGTGGACCAACAGCTAGGGAGCCTGCATGGTTCTGACCCAGGCCCTCTACTGGGTGACAGTTGTGGAGCTTGAATTACTTGTGGGACTCCTAGTGGTTGGAAGCAGAGTCTTTCTCTAAAGCTTTGGTTGGCTTCCAGGAATGCATTCTTCATACTGGAATGCCTTGCCCAGTCTTCACACAAGGGGTGGAGCTTAGTCCTATCTCAACTTGATATGCTATGTTTTGTTGACACCCATGGAAGGCCTGGCCCTTTCTGAACAGAAACAGTGGAGGAGTAGATGTGTGTGTGTGTGTGTGTGTGTGTGTGTGTGTGTGTGTGTGTGTGTGTGTGTGTATGTGTGTGTGTATGGAGCGGGGTAGGTGGCAGGAGGGAATGGGAGGAGAGAAAGGAGAGGAAACTTCTGTCAGATGTAAAATAAATGAATAAATCTAATTAAGAATAATAGAAAAAGAAAACACAATAAATTTTTTTTTGTGGGTTGGTATTTTGTCTGCATATATGTCTGTGTACCATGTATATGCGTGATGCCTGTGGAAGCCAGAAGAGAGTGTTGGGTCCCCACGAAATTTGAGCCACCACGTGTGTGTTGGGAATCAAACCTGGGCCCTTTGGGAGGGCAGCAAGGACTCTGAGTGTCTGAGCCATCTCTTTAAGCACCTTTATTCTTTCTAAAAGGTATAATTTAGGGTCAGTGAGATGGCTGGGTAGGTAAAGGCATCTGCTACCAAGCCAGATAAGCTGAGTTCAATCACTGGGACCCAAATAGTGGAAGGATTGACTCCTAAACAATGTTCTCTGACCTACGTATGTCCACTGTGGCCTATATCCCCCTCCTAAAAATAAAGATAATAAAGAAATTCAAAAGATAAAGGTGGGCAATTGTGGCATAGTCCTTTAATTTCAGTACTCTGGAGGCAGAGGCAGGCAGTCTCTCTGTTCAAGTTCATCCTGGACTAGAGTTTTCCTGCCTGGCCCATAGTCAGGACAAATCTCTCTCACTGGCCAGTCCCACAGCTGCTCAGACCCGACCAAGTAAACACAGAGACTTATATTGGTTACAAACTGTATGGCTGTGGCAGGCTTCTTGCTAACTGTTCTTATAGCTTAAATTAATCCATTTCTATTAATCTATACCTTGCCATGTAGCTAGTGGCTTATCGGCATCTTCACATGCTGTTTGTCATCGTGGCGGCTGGCAGTGTCTCTCACTCAGCCTTCCACTTCCCAGCCTTATTCTCCTCCTTGTTCCGCCTATACTTCCTGCCTGGCCACTGGCCAATGAGTGATTTATTTATTGACCAATCAGCAACACACTTGACTTACAGACCATCCCACAGCAAGAGGGAGTTCCAGGAGAGTGTGGGCTACATAGTGTAGATGTAACCATCTTAATTAAAATGGATACACAGAGCCAAAAGCAGAGTTGAGAGCCCAAGAGGTCAGAGCAGTAGCTAAGAGCTAAAAACACTTTCTTACCCTTCACTGCTGCTGCTGTCCTTCCCCTGAGCAAGAGATCTACTTCCTGTGTGTCTGTCTTTTTATTGACTTTCTGTTCTGTCTTCTCATTGGTTGTAAACCCAACCACATGATCTCCTCATCACTGCCTTCTGTATAGACCTCCAGGTCTTCTATGGTTGGTATTGAGATTAAAGGCGTGTGTCACCATGCTGGCTGTATCCTTGAACACACAGAGATCCTCCTAGCTCTGCCTTCCAAGTGCTGGGATTAAAGACATGCGCCACCACCGCCTGGCTTCTACTATGGCTTGCTATTAGCTCTGACCCCCAGGCAACTTTATTTATTAACAAATAAAATCACATTTCAGTACAAATAAAATATCACCATATTTCCCCTTTTCTATTTTAATAAAAAGAAAAAAGTTATAACTAATATAAGAAAAACTGTATACAAAAGTACAATAACTATATACCATATATATAAGCAATAAACACCTAAACAATGTCTAGTCCATTTGCATTTGACAAATTCAGAGAAAATAATTCCATTATCTATCCTTTTTTGATAAGTCCAATATGTACCTGATTCACTTTCTATCCTAACTTGTATTACAAACAGAACTATATTATAACATCTTTCAAATTTATACACTTAACACCTCTTTAGTGAGTTTCTTTTCTGAAATTCTTAACAAGGAAAATGATAACTATTTAAACTTAAATATAACTATCTAATCTTCAACTATAACTAACTAATCTTCAACTCCCTCAGAGACCCAAGAAGGAAATAATATTACCTAATAAAAATAAAAACAGGAAGTGCGTGCACGCAGCTTCCAAAAAAAAAAAAATGTGAGTTGACAGAAACAGTCAGCTGCCTGGACAATCACCTGAGGTTTCTCAGCAGTGTTGGGGCATCATCTAAAATTTAAAAATTTAGACTTTCTGCACAGTGAGACATGTCTGCTCCTGACAGCACCGATTTACTTCAGAGAGGAGGATGGGCATCAAAGACACTCCATATGGAGCTGATCTTCTTCTTGGCAAAAATAGCCATTTGGGCAAGAAACTGTTCTTGCCTGGACTGCTTGATCAACTGGACATGCAGGACCCATAGGAAGATGACTACTGAACTTTGTTTGGCAAAATGGTCCTTCAGGTTCCTGCTTTGCAGAGGAAACTGCCAGACCTTCTATAGGACACAGAGAGAAGTGACAGAGACTCTGGGCCTATGGGATGAAGACAGATGCCCCAACTTTACAAAAGAACTTTGGATGACTGTCCAGGCTGCCAGTTGTCTCTGTCTACTGTCACAAGACTCCCGGAAGTTGCTTGAATCCTTTTCCCACTTCTCAGGTAATATTATATCCTTCTGAGGTCTTTGATGTAGTTGAAGCTAGATAGTTACAATTTTCCTTAGTTAAGATAAAAGATAAGTTAGATATGAAACCTTAGACTCACAAATATAGGATAGATAGGATATCTTCTTTAATTTTGCCAAATACAAATAGACTAGATATTATAAATAGACAAGACAGTGTAACTGTAATTCTTGCTTGATAATTGTTTTGTTATATGTAATTTTACTATGTGAAAGTTAAAACCTTCCTTTTTGAAAAAAAAGAAAAGGGGAAGTGCTGTGGGATGTCCTGTATGTTAAATATGTTGCTCTGATTGGTTAATAAATAAAACACTGATTGGCCAGTAGGCAGGCAGGAAGTATAGGCAGGATAAGCAGAGAGGAGAATGCTGGGAGGTGGAGGACTTGGGTCAATATCCAACAGAGAGGCAGAGAGACGCTGACAGCTGCCGCCATGACAAGTGAGATGTAAGGTACCGGTAAGCCATGGGCTACATGACAACTTATAGATTAATAGAAATGGGTTAATTTAAGATATAAGAATAGTTAGCAAGAAGCCTGCCATGGCCATACAGTTTATAAGTAATATAAGTCTCTGTGTGTTTACTTGGTTGGGTCTGAGCAGCTGCAGGACTGGCAGGTGAGAGAGATTTGTCCTGGCCTTGGGCCAGGCAGGAAAACTCTAGCTACAAAATAGAGAAACCCCATTTAAAAAAAAACACAAAAAACAAACAAACAAACAAAAATATATAATTTATAATATAGTTATAAAGAGCAAACTATAAATTTGTGTTGATGATATAAGAGTAAAATATCACTAATATATTTTTCATTATTCATTCCTGTCTTTTCATGTTTTTCATTTAAATTTTTTAAAATTTTTTATATTGTTCTAAAATTATAAAATGTTAGGTTTCAAAGTATTTCTGTGAGAGCCCACAGAGGTTTCCTAGTGAGATCTGAGCTTGCTTTACCCAGCAGGACTGCATAAGAGGATGATTGGACCACAAGCCTGGGTACCAGGTGTTTGGAAGTGTCTGCACTTGGCTGTATCTAGGAATGGGGAGGTATTTCCCCTTGCCCCGTGGCATTGTTATAAAGCCCTTTTGAATAAAGTTCTGGGCTGTTGGATATTGACCCAAGTCCTCCCAAAGCTATCCTGTGTTTCTGTCCTTCCTCTCCAATAGGCCTATCATTCTACCTAATATTAATATTCCTGTCTCCTCCAAGTAGCAACCCTGGAAAAGGTGGGGGCTGGTCCCCCACATGTTTTCATGCATATTTTGTTTTGGTTGATCCCAAATCTTACATTCCAAATGGCTGGAAATTTCTAAATGTACATGGCCTATCAAAACTAAACCTAGGAATTAGAAACAATATAAACAGATCCATAATAAGCTATGAGATTGAAGTGATTATTAAAGGTCTCTCTCCAAAGAAAAGTTCAGGCCAAGACAGATTCACTACTGAATATTATGAACTTTTAAAGAAAACCTAACCAACACTTTTCAGACCCTTCCACCAATCACAAACAGAAGGAACGATACCAACCTCTTTCTCTGAAGTTTGTATTGTCCCGATGTCAAACTTTGAGACACAACCAAGAAAAAAGTACAGAACAATTTCCCTGATGAACATGGATGTAAAAAGTCTCCACAAAAATATTTACAAATTGAATCAAAGACCTTTAAAAATGTTATACAAATTACTTAATTTTCCTGGACTCACAGCAACAGGGAGAAGGTCTCACCCAAGAGAATCCTAACTTCCAATTGATGAAGAACAGGTTGGCTCTGATCAGAAAAGAGAGGACCTGATCAAAAAAGGGAGGACCATTCATTGATTCTTTTGAGCTTCAACTTGAAGCAGAAGCCCAGTCTAGGGCCTAGTCAGGCTGAACTGGGAGGATCACATGGACCAGAGTGAAGACTAACTCCTTGGACTAACTGGGACATCCTGGTACCTGACATGCCAGCAGAATTCACTGCATCTTTGAAATTCAATGAGTAACTTTCAGAGTTATGTGTTTGCTAGCAAATATAATTTAAGAATATATTAATTTGACTTCCAACCACATGCTGTGGTGGATGGACATCATTTGTGCCATATGCAATTGTCATATCCCAGGCATCAATGACACCCACATTGAGATCCTGGAAAATATCTTTTAAGGCAAGGTACTGGGTGTAACCATGGAAGTCACCTAGTCTTTCCACGTCACTGCTCATCTCCCTGACGTTTTCTGTTTTGAGGACAACCATAGTGTCTGGGCTTCTCAGGAGAAGACGCTGAAGAGCTTTGTGGACATTGAGGGCCCTTCGGATGAAAAGGTCAATGGGGAAAGGTCTGAAATGCTGACCCAGAGAAATGACAATGACCGTGTTTTTCTCTCCTCCAGTTCTGTCAATTATCCGTGCAATGTACTCCATCTCTTTGACAGAGTAGACGAATGACCCAATAAAGGGGTAACCATGTTTTTTCCACTGGATGTTGATGTTTTCATCCAAGTCCACAGCGAGTTGGTGTTGCAGTTTTCCAGTCTCATGCAGATCCACAGACCTCAGTGCTGAGAACCAACAGGCAATCCCAAAACAAAAGGAGAATACAGTTACAGAGATCAACTAGCCACAAATATAGAAGAAAAGATCTGGTGTTTAGAATCGTATAAACTTATGGTATCTGATACTCAAACAACTCAAAGTGCTTTATGATAAGGAGCTGCCCTCTTCCAGAATCATTCAGGTTGAATTGTGCAGGGGATGGCTTTAACTTTGAACTCAGCTTTACAGGAAGATGATGCGATTAGTGTGCCCATGCTGTTTTCATAGGACATGTTACCTATGCCCTGACCTTATATGAGGGTAGATAGGGAAGGCTATTAATTGATGTTATGTCCAAAAAGAAGCCAAGCAAATCTCTGTAACGGCTCCAGGAATCTAAAACTGTATTCTCTGTTCTTCTTCTTTCCCTAAGAGTGGAATGGCACTAAGTATCTCATCTACATTAGTGACAGTAATATGATGGCTCATTTGTGATGCCCTTTACAATAGCATTTATCTAGCAGATGCAGCCACTTGCCTCAGTGATATTCACACACACACACACACACACACACACACACACACACACACACACACACATGCAAACATACACCCATTTGTCATGTAGAAAAGAAAGTCAAGGCAGGGTGTCAAATTGCCCCAGATGACAGTTTGTGACTCAAAGGGCACTTATAAATTCCCCTTCAACCCTTGAGAAAAATAATCTCTCTAAACTAGACACCTCTGAGAGTAAGCACACTATGAATACAAGACAATGTCCACCCTGTTCCATTGTGCCAATTAGACCCTAAACAGAACAGCAAGGTGAGTTGTTCTATCCCTACAGCTTCTGAGAAAATATGTAGTCAGTGACCACAGATGCCTTGTACCATGTCTTAATGGGGAATGGAGGGCTGGCTGAGAAGTCTAAGGCAGGGAGTGAGGCTGAAAAGAGACAAGCTGGAGAGTCTCTGGGGGCAAGTGTTAGAACTAGTGTCTCCCTTGCTTCCAACTCACTCCAGTTCTCTTTTCCCAAGCACATTCTGGCTACAGAATTGAACTTTACATACAGTATACAGTGATCTCGACCTACTATAACCTACATGTTGAGGAGGAGGGTCATTCACACCTCAGATGCTGCATGACCTATGAAACCTGCAACATCAGACCATGTGATGATAAAGTGTCACTAGAATCTCCATTTTCTAGATGAAAGAGACAAAATTACGAGGGGCCATTTGTTTACTGGAAATCATGATCTAACATGTCTTCTCTGTTGCTTTCTGGGTACTGCCTATGTGTTAGTTAGCCTTGCAGTGTCATAAATACTTGCTGTCTGTTACTTTATTTCATTTAAAACAAATGATAGGGATAGTAAACACTGTTCTAGATCAGTGGTTTTCAACCTTCCTAATGCTGTGACCCTTTAATACAGTTCCTCATATTGTGGTGACCCCCAATCATAAAATTATTTTCATTGCTACTTCATAAATGCAATTTTCCTACTGTTATGAATCATAATATAAATATCTGATATGCAGATGGTTTTTCAAGACCCCTGGAACAAGGTCTTTTGTTCCCAAAGGGGTCATGATCCACAGCTTGAGAACCATGGTTCTAGGAATTGATAGTAACATTTTTTAAATAATGTTGGTGGTTTGTGATTAAGAACTGTAGAACTATGATGGAGGATGAATTTGCTGTACTATTTTTTTAGCCCTAGAAATGAAAATGTAGTTTTCAAAAGAGATGTGAATAGCTTATATTGAGACATACTGTTGATACTGCTTTTGAAGTATTCCATCCACTGGCGGATTGTGGAATCCCCCATCAGATGGATGAATTTTCCTCTCAGGCAGTCTTTCATTTTGATCGGAGCCAAACTACAGGAGGCTGGAATCCAGGTGTTTTTCCAGACGTGCCCACTGGGGATTGCAGATGCCTTCCCGAGCTTGCATCTCTCTTTTGCTGGAACAGCTTCTTCTGCCAAGAAATCAGCAAGATCGAGTCTTCTAAAACACCACTCTATTCACCTGTGTTTAGGAGCCTTCCACCTTTACCAAAGAACCCTCTAGATAGGCGTGTGGGTGGGTGGTGACAATAAAAAGAAGCTTATTAAAGTATCTTCATAATGGAATATTTATTTTCAGTAAAAGTTTCCTGTGATGTGAGTTTCCTAAGTGTTACCTATTAATGTTTATATGAAAAGTACATGGACTCAGAATAAAAAAGGCCTTCGACTAAAATTTAACTATTTGTTAGCCCTGCCATGAGACCAGCCTCATCAATTCTTATTTAGGGCTAGAGCTCTTCAATCTGAGTGTGTTATTCCACTTGAGCTTGTCACATGCTCTCATGGTGTCTAAAATGTCACCATGCAAGTATGAACACTTTGAGATAAATGCAGGGTGAACTTGGCTATAAATTGGCCAATTTGCATTGAGAGAGGTCTGGAGGTCTAAGATGGGCCAGATCTTCAACCTTAATCTCTGGGTAATGAAGAGACCTGGGAAGGTGTGGGTGTGTGGGTGGGTAGGATGGTGTGGCAGCAGATTTGGGGTCACAATTATTCATCACTCCAAAAGGGTAAGTTAATAATTTAACAACTACTATGAAGGTGCTGATATATATGGGACAAAAGAAATACCATTTCTCTCCCTCTTCCTCTCTCAGTCTGCCTTTGTCTGTCTTTGAGACAGGGTCTCATGTAGTCCAGGCTTGCTTTCAGCTTGCTATGTAGGTGAGGATGGCCTTGAATACCTCACGTTCCTGCCAACAATTCCAGATTTTGGAAATCATGGGTGTGTGTTTATGTGGTGCTGAGGGTCAAGCCTAGGGCTTTGGGTTTGCTGGGTAAGCACTACACATCACTTTTGCAATCAGAAACATGTGTTTTCCTTCTACATGGAAAAATGTCTTAGCAATTAGCAAACTTTCCATGGTGAATGTAGAGAGACAAAAGATACAGTTGTCTTAAATCATTTTAGGTGGTATTTATGAGCTGTTAAAAGTAGATAGATAGATAGATAGATAGATAGATAGATAGAGAGAGAGAGAGACAGAGAGAGAGAGACAGAGAGAGAGAGACAGGGACAGAGAGAGAGAGAGAAGTGAATACACATGTGAGGTTCTTTGAAAAAATTTCAAACACCAAGAGTGAAACATGGCTGTAAATTGACTCCTAGATGGCACATTGGAGATGTCTAAGTGATAATTCTAGGGAGGCTGTGAAGACGGCAGGAGACGGTGGTGGTGGGGATGAAGAACTAGGTAAACACTTGGGAGAGAGTTTTGTTGTTTGCAGCTTGTTGTGTAGGATGGGCAGATGACCTTCTAACTGAGGAGTCGATTGCTGAGAGATGTGGTTACTAAAGCAGGCACGAAAGATCCTAGTGATTCCAAACATTCATTCACATATGGACTTTGTGCCTTGGCCCACCTTATGAGACCCGAGACAATGACCAAGTCCAGCAGAGAGAGAAGGCCCTTTAAATGGGTCCAGTGTTAAGCACCGCCCGCCAAGCACAGAACCACTTACTGTTGCATTTGGAGACACTAATCACATTGGATTTTCCCATAATCTCCACACCTATATTTGACCTTAAAGAGACAGATACAGCAATTAATCTGCAGTGGCCTCAACTCAAGCATAGTTCCAGAACCCAGATTGGCCAATCCTTCTGCTACTTCTCAGTGATAATCTAATTTCCCTGCCTAGAATTTCAGGTCATTCAGTAAGTTTCCATTTATTTGTTTCATAGTTCATAGGAGCCAGGGACCCAGAAGGTATGTATGCAAGGCAGTGTATTGAGACACAGAAAGAATGATTAGAACACAAACATACACATACATTTCTCTTTCTTTTGGTTCTCAGTCAACCTGAGTTGTTTAGGTTCATTGATAAGTATTACTTCTCACAAATATCTGAGAAGCCCTGGAGATTGAACACTGTCCCCAAATGAATTCACAGGTCCCCTCTCAAAAGACTCTTCTTACAGAGTCCCAAAGTTACAGTGCTTAGAATACACTCCCTGTATCCTAGATTACCAATTTCTCCCCAGAAATGTGAAACAATAATATTTACCTTTCAAAGAGGCTCCTCTCTTGCTGCCTAAGATAGGAAACTTCCTTGTTCTTTGATTTCATGTGGGAAAGTGCCGCACAGGGTACATTTGGAGGCTTCACACAGTAGAACGTTTCTTGGTACTGGGCATCCAGATATCGGCAGAGTTCGACACTTGAGTTTAGAACCAAGGCACACTCAGTGTGGACCTGAGAGGTTCCATTTACATACCAGCCAGTGAAGATGATTCTGTCGTAGCCCTGTTTCCTTGCTCTCCAGAGAGCTGACACCCCTTCACTGGGATGCATGAGCAGGATAGACAGGGAGACCGGGCCTTCCCAGAACAGAGTGAAGCTGACAAGGTAGGTGCCATTGTTGAAGTCTGTCACCTTTCCAGAAGCTCCTGCCTTCAGGGCTGGGGAGGACATCCTGGCCCTCAGGAAGTCTCCACCATACTCCTTCCTGCGTCCCAGGTGGTCCCTGGCTTCCAACAGCACATCCAGTTTTTCCCCCATGCAGTGTGTGTCTCGAGGGTTGAGGATGGTGGCTGTGCTGTGTGTGGCGCTGGTGGTGGTGTTGAGATGGGCAAAAGGCCTGGGCGGGATCTGTTTGTCTAGTTTCTCTAGGACCTCCCTGACTCTCAGCTCTGTCCCTTTTGGTGCAACTGGTAGGTTCAGAGGCACTGTAGGGCATGAGGATGTTGTGACCAAATTCTGGTGACTGAAGGACACAGGAAACTTGAAGTGAACCCATATCTGAATGGGCAAGAAATAGAATAGAGAACAAAGAAAAAGTTGCTATTTAATGTAAAAAGTCTTGGCAGGTTAACCGACTTTTGTCTTTTATAGAACACTGAGAGGTGTAGAAATCACATTACACTTAGATTTTGTGGTCACATATGTTTCACACAGAGATGTCTTTATTTAAACTGTCAGTATAACTCTGGTTTTCAATGACTTATTTTGGAAAACCCATTCAATCTCCATTGAATCTCCAATAGCCCTTGCTAGGATCTTCTTCCAAATGGTGGTGATATGGCGATGGAGAGGGCTGAGCAGTTAAGAGTGCTTGCTGTTCCTAAGGAGACCCTGAGTTCAATTGCCATTGGGTAACAACCACCTGTAACTCCAGCTCCAGGTGATCTGACGTCATCTTCTGGCCTCTATAGGTACTGCAATCAGATAACTGTAAATCAGTTTTATCAACTATCATGTCATAATTATGTACCTTGAATGGTTAGTGTGAGTATTATGGAATAATATGGTGTGCTGGCTAATTTTATGTGAACTTTACATAAGCTATAGTTATCAGAAATGAGGGAGCCTCCATTTAGAAAGTTCCCCATACAATTGGGCTGTGCTCAAGTCTGTAGGGCATTCTCTTCACTATTGATTGATGTGCAAGTGCTCAGCTCATTGTGGGTGGAGCTACCTCTGAGCTAGTGGTTCTGGGTGCTGTAAGTGAGAAGGAGCAAGGCAGTAAGCGGCACTCCTCCATGGCTTCTTAATCAGCTCCTGAGTCCAGGTTCCTGCCCTGTTTGAGTTCCTGTCCTGACTTCCTTTGATGATGGACTATGATGTAGAAATATAAGACAAATATACTCTTTCTTTCTCAAGTTGCTTTTGGTCATAGTGTTTTATCACATCAATAGAAATCCTAACTAGGACACATGGGAAACTTTAGAAAGGCATTGGGACTGTCTCCATGATTTGAAAAGATATTAAAAAGTATCCTAGCATGTCCAATGAAGTAATAATAAGATGGATCATTGCTATCAATCACTAATTAGAATTTTCGGTAAATGCAAAGTAGCTTGCATGAACCCAATTCTTATGTAGATAATAATAATAAACTGTGAACAAGAGTATTTTTAATAAATAGCTCTCTAAATGCAGTGAAAGCTGAATCAGGACAACTGCAAGTTTGAGTCTGAGCTTGAGCTGCACAACAAGAGAAGGGCTACCCTATGCTACAGAGTGAATCCATGTATCACAAAAACAAAAACCAAGTTCTGCAAACAAATAAAAGCAACTAACCACTACCACCAACTAAAGCCCTACTCCATAGCAGAGAGGCAACCAATGAAATAGAGAAAACAAACAACAAAGCCAACACTAACAAAACAAAATGTCAGCCTTAAACGCTGCAGTGAAGTAAAAGTTTGATTAGATACTTAGACTGCCTGGTACTGGAGGAGGGAAATGTTTCCCACTCGTAATTCTCCACAGTTTTCAAGAGGCAGGTCTATTTCAGTACATAGAAATGAATGTGTTCTGTCCTACAGAAGTTTCCTTAAGGCCGGTGCAAACACAGGCTGAGGACATTGTCAAACAATGGCTGCACTTATCCACAAGCAGCACAGAACCGTGTCTGTGTAAGCACACACGGGAATGGCTGCCTATAACGCCTGCCCTCCCTCTGGCTTTCCTGTCTCTGAGAAGCACCCTCTTCCCTGGGTCCCACCTCATACATGAGAGGTTTGGGTCGTTCCTCACTTGTTGCTGTGCTTAACAAGTGTCGGTTATGTTGGTTCGTTAATGTTGCTTGATAAGCCATATTGAGCACACCCCATCTCCGTTCCAGTTGGTGGGTCTTTGCAACTTACACTTTCCTAGATACACAATATCAAGTAAAACAGAAAAAGAGATTAGTTCCTTACCTTTGATGGGTTTCTGAAAACTGTAAACGAGACCCAAAAGATAGCTATAAACAGCAGCACCCACAGTGACTTACGACTGGTCATCGTTTTCATGGTTCGAATTGTCCTGTGAGAGAATCACAGAAACTCATCACGTAATGAAACAGAAAGGAAATCACACACAGGTGTGGCACACTTATGGCTCCTGATTACTTTGCTCTTAGTTAAGTTCTTCTCAGGTGACATCTTGGCCCTCCTGGTTGTCCCTGCTGTCCCCCAGCCTCTGTCATCCCATTAGCTCTCAGTTTGGAGCCCACCAACAGCTAAGATACCATGAACCTGAAGTGGGCAGGACACTCACATCTAGGTGGATCCTCCAGGTTATACCACCTCCCAGATTCTCTTTTCTCTCCTCTCAACCACAAAGAGCAGACCAAATACTTCACCAATAGTGATACCAAGAACCATGACATCTAATAGAAGGTCATCTACCAGTCTTCACGGAGTCTATTTCTTTATCACCATGTTTTCTGCCACCTCTCAACCTTAAAACAAATTACTTTAAAACTCTTACCATTACTTTAAAAAAAAAACTTGAAATTTTAGCCTGTTTTTTCCCTCCACTTATATGAACATTTGTCTTTGATCTGAAATCTGATTTATCTTTTTCAGGTTAGATTAGCTGGGAGGGGTCACTGCTCAACAGTACAGAATGTAAGAAAAGACAAGTTATTTTGTTTGAACACCACCCTCATTTCTAATAACTGGGTGAGCTTGGTGGGGAGGCTCCTTCTATGGCTGGTAGGGTGCTACCACTGTATGGCCTTCCTGCACCATAACACATCACAGATGCAAGCTGCAGGGCATAGGGTAGAGGCTACTTTTCAGTGGGATTCACACCCTTCACCCTAAGGGGGAATCTGGATGGCAAAACCACAGTGACCAAATCAAGCAGAGACTGAAATGAGGGGCAGAATTTAGACATTCAGAATTTCTAAGAAGCCTTGTCCTCGGAGGAGTGACTGGAACTCTTCTGCCTCCAAGGGCTTTTAGTTATATGATTATGAAGTAAATGCAGGCTTCTTTTCTTGATGAAAATGACATACTTGATGAAAATGAGGAATCACTTGGGTGCAGATGTTAGTTACAGGCATGCTATTTTACAATAGTGAAGAATGCATGGTTTAAAGTGCAGTGTTTCGCCACAAGAGTTCTGACTTCTCTAGAGGAGATCTTGAAGATTCTCATGTGGACATGAATCTGTAACATGAATCTTCAAAGTTCTTATTAATAAAAACAAACCCAGGGGTGAACGCTGAATGATCAGAGAGACACAACCAGCCACAGCTACTTCACCTTGCCAATTCCTCAGCTGATCCTGTTTCTTCAGACTGGAAGCCTCTGAATCCTCATCCAGAATGAATCTCAGCTGACATGTTTGTTGCTCAAAAGCCTAAAAGCTTAACCAGCTCTAGTTCCTGGTCCTCACGCCTTATATACCTTTCTGCTTTCTGCCATCACTTCCTGGGATTAAAGGCCTGTGTCACCATACCTGACTGTTTCCAGTGTGGCTTTGAACTCACAGAGGTCCAGATGGATCTCTGCCTCTGGAATGCTAGGACTAAAGGCGTGTGTGCCACCATTTTCTAGCCTCGGTATCTAGTGGCTGTTCTGTTCTCTGACCCCAGATAAGTTTATTAGGGTGCACAATATTTTGGGGAACACAGTATCACCACATGAATGTCTTCTTGTGTGCAAATTATTACCACTGTCCTTCAAAGATCTTTGAAGGGGTGTTTCTGTTCTTGTTTAGGTGACTGCTCTTGGATGATTTGACCAAAGATTTAGACCAGCAGGAAGAAGAAATGCAGGCTGGACTGCCCAGGCAGCTCTGGCTGGTGCAGACTATAAAGACTAATGGGTTAGTTTTATCTAGCCTGGATGGCCTGGGCTGTTGATGCCCGAGACCTGTCTTATTTGCAACTGAGCAAACACTGTCTTGGAAAGTACTGATGATGGGTTATTGTGTAACTGCCTTTTAGAAGCCAGGGTGTAGCCTGACCCCTATCTTTATCTCAAGGAAATATCCTCTGTTGACATTTATTCTAGAAAAACCTCTCTCCTAGGCAAGAACTAAGAAACTATGTTCTCATTTCATACTATTGTTAGGACCAGGTTGGCCTCAAACTCAGAGATCTTTCTGCCTCTGCCTCCGAGTGTTGGGATTAAAGGACATCACCGCTCAGTTGTGTTTTTCCTGTAAGGGATGGAATGGACAGAAGGCTGGAGAGGACATGCTTTCCAGCCTGGTGTCCTTTGCTTTATCTGTGTGGCTGGAGATTTTCTGGTATTGAAAATGAGTGACACTTGGCTAGGCGGTGGTGGCGCACACCTTTAATCCCAGCACTCGGGAGGCAGAGGCAGGTGGATCTCTATGAGTTCGAGGCCAGCCTGGACTACAGAATGAGTTCCAGGAAAGGCACAAAGCTACACAGAGAAACCTTGTCTCGAAAAACCAAAAAAAAAAGAAATAAAGAAAAAAATGAATGCCACTTGTTTAGGGTTTATTGCTATAAGAAACACCATGAACATGGCAACGCTTTTTTTTTTTAAGTTTTTTTTGAGACAGGGTATCTCTGGCTGTCCTAGAACTTGCTTTGTAAACCAGGCTGGCCTCAAACTCACAGAGATCCACTACCTCTTCCTCCTGAGTGATGAGATTCAAGGAGTATGTCAGCACTGCCAGGCTCAAGCCAGGCCCATGGCAACTCTTACAAAGGTAAACATTTAATTGAATTGTCAGCCTACAGTTTCAGAGGTTTAGTCCATTAACATCATGGCAGGGAGCATGGTGGCATGCAGGCAGACCTGGTGCTGGAGAAGGAACCACTACATCTTGATATGTGGGTAACAGGAAGTAGACTGTCTCATTGGGAGTAGCTTGAGCATAAGAGACCTCAAAGCCCACCTCCACAGTGACACATTTCCTCTAACAAGGTCACACCTACTCGCACAAAGGCACATCTCCTAAAAGTGCCACTCCCTCTGGGGGTCATCTTCTTTCAAACCACCACATTCTGTTCTCTGGCCCCCAAAAGCTTGAAGCCATGTCATAATGTGTAATGCACTCAGTCCAACTAAAAGTCCCCATAGTCTAGAACAGTCTCAAACGTACTTAAAAGTATAAAGTTCAAATTCTCTTTGGAGATTCATGCAATCCCTTAACTGTAATCCCTTGTAAAATCAAAACCCAAAAGCAGACCTCATGCTTCAAACATACAGTGGCACAGTATATATATTACTGTTCCAAAACATAGGGAATGGAGCATAGTGAAGGAATACTGGACCAAAGCAAGTCCAAAAATCAGCTAGGCAAATTCTAAACTTTGCATCTCCATGTCTGATGTCAAAATGATCTTCAGAGCTCCAGCTCAGTTCAGCTTGGTTGACTTCAACACACTTGTTTCTCTTGGGCTGGATCCACTCCCTGTTAACAGCTCTCCTTGGCAGGTATCCCACAATTCTGGCATCTTTAATATCTTGGAGTCTCCAAGGCAATCCAGGCTTCAGCTTCATAGCTTCACTAATTGGCCTCTCTAGGCCTTCTTGCAGCGACACCCCTGACACATGCTTGACTCTGGTGGCTTTCTTTAGTTGCTCCTTGACTCTAAAGCCAGAACCATGTGGGCAAAGCTGCCTAGTTCTGCTGCTTCCTGGCACTGGAATATCGCCCCCTCCTTCAATTACATCATCACCAGCTTCCTGTTCTCCACCTTCACTGCTTAAACATGGCTGTCCTGAAACAGGATCTGTAGACCAGGTTGTCCTCAAACTCAGAGATCCACCAGCCTCTGCCTTCCCAGTGCTGGGAATAAATGCATGCACCACCACACCTACATGGCTCTAAGCCTTTCTTTAATTTATTTTCACAAGTTGGAGACTTAGCTGGGTGGGATCTTGCCCTGAGGTCACCTTACCCTTTATTCCATTTCTTAATCTGTTTTATGTCCTTGAGTGCAGGATTTCCCTCCATTCCACTTTCTGGTGCTCCTTTCTCCTCAAATATTTTTCTTTGCTCAGCTTGCTCATTTTCATTATATATCTTCATTAGAGTTAACACTAGTAACTACACAACAGAGTCTATACTAGGCTGTTCTGAGATTTCCTCTGCCAAGGCAATTAATCCAAAACTCTTCACTTTAGCTTCAAGCAACCTTTTTAGACAATGGCAAAAAGCATCTATACTCTTCACCCCAAATATCACAAGAATGATCTCTAGGCAACATACTAAAACACTTCTCCTCTGAAACCTTTTGAGCCAGCCTCAGACAGTTCTAATTACTCTTAGCTCCACTGTCCTCCATGCTCCTACTAGTCTGTCCCATTGAGCAGTGCTTAAAACATGCCACTGCTTTCTTAACACAAAGTACCAAAGTCCAAATTCCTCCAAACAAAAAACATGGTCAGGCCTATCACAGCAATACCCCACTTCTGGTAGCTCCTGTCTTAGCAAGGGTTTCTATTGTTGTGAGGGGACATTTATGACCATGGTGACACTTATAAAGGCCAACATTTACTTGAGGTGGTGGCTTACAGTTTCAGAGATTTATTCCATTTTCATCATGGCAGGGAGCATGGCAGCATGTAGGAACACATACATGTGCTGGTGATGGAGCTGCTACACCTCTATCTGTAGGTAACAGGAAGTAGACTGTCTCACTGGGAGTAGCTTGAGCATAGAAGACGTCAAAACCCAACTCTACAATGTCACACTTCCTCCAATAAGGTCACATCTACTCCCACAAAGCCATAGCTCCTAACAGTGTCCCTCCCCCTGGGGGCCATTTTTTTTCAAACCACCACAACCCTCTTCTAAGACATAGCGCTACCTTTTAGAAAAGGCTTTAGAATGATCTAGAGGTGTGAGTGAAACAGAGAAAACCTCTATGGCAAAGTAGCCCTGACTCCAAACATTACAGATGGACAAGGAATTGAAGACTTTGGTATGTTGAGGGCAAGCACACTAACTGTAAACTTTAAACCCAGCCCGATTCCTGTATAAATTAACACAACTCCCCACAGTAAGGACCTAGCCTAGGAAGCACATGTCTTACTCAAAGCATAACTGTTTGGTTTAGGAAAGGAGCTGACGAAAAATTACCCTTCAGAAGTGAGCTTGTTGGGAGAGAGAGCCTTGTAACCATGGAGCCTTGAGGTGGGAGAGCAATTGGAAAGGAAGGAGACAGGGTTCCAAAGGAAGAGAGAGGGTTCTCTTCAAATTCCAGAGAGAATTGTTGGTGTGATGGTTCAGGGAGTAAAAATATCTGTCACCGAGACTGCCAACCTGAGTTCAATCCCCAGGTGGAAGGAGAGAACCAATTCCTGAAAGTCACCCTCTGACCTCTACACATCCACATATGTACACGTGGGTGCACACACAGACACACACACAGACACACACAGACAGACACACACACAGAAACACACACACAAATGTAATAAAAAATGAAAATAAAACCTGGAGAGGAGCCCCGTGAAGAGGAGCAGCTGAAAACAATATCAGGAGAGATCCGTACGACAAGACAGCATGGCGAGCGGCCAGAAGGAAGGAAAAAGGAAGGAAGGAAGGAAGCAGAAACAGAGAGAGGCAGGATGCTCAATGATCGCACAATAGTAATCTACTCAAATCTGTACTATTGTGTACAGAATGTGCCAATTTCAACCCCAAAATGAAACATGTCAAAAGGCAGAGGACAAAGTGCCACATTCCTATGTTGTGGGACAAATAACTGTCCCATACATGGCATTGATATGGGAGTTTTCTCACAGAATTTCTTTTAAAAATCACTATTATCATATGGCAAAGTCCATAACCAGAAAAATAGGCTGGCTGGACATGGTGGCACACACTTTTAATTCAGGTACTTGGAGGCTGAGTCAAGTGGACCTATGTGAGTTTGTGTCCATCCTGGTCTATGTAGCAAGTTCCAGGATAGCCAGGGCTGCACAGAGAAACTCTATCTCAGAAAAAATTGCAGAAAGGTGAACAGCATTCCAACTATTGAAAAATGAAAGACAAAGAGACATTTTCCAAAGACAACCAGAGAAGAAGATCATATTAGCTGTAATAAGAATTATGGTTGCCTGCCAGGAACCGAGCAACAAGACGAAAAACCTTCCTACCCCACCCCTGTGTGTGTGTGTGTGTGTGTGTGTGTGTGTGTGTGTGTGTGTGTGTGTGTGTGTGGTGCATGCACATGCATATACAGGAGCTCTCATCCCACTATATATGTGGAGGACAGAAGACAATTGTTTAAAAATAATTTACTTACTTTGATCTCAAGTGCATTGGTGTTTTTCCTGCATGTGTGTCTGTGTGAGGGTGTCAGGTCCCCTAGAACAGGACCTACGGACAGCTGCGAGCTGCCATGTGGGTGCTGGGAATCGAACCTGGGTCCCTGGAAGAACAGCCAGGCTCTTAACCACTGAGCCACCTCCCCAGCCCCCAGAAGACAATCTGAAGAAGAATCAGTTCTTTCCTTCTAATGTGGGTTCCAGGTTCAGGGCATCGGGCTCAGAGACAAATGCCTTGACCTCCTAAGCCATCTCTGTAGAGCTTAGTTCTTAAAATAAATGTACACTTAAATATTTGCCAGGAAGTGAAAGAGCATATGGAATTATACTCCATTTACATTGAATTATCTCACATGTCTGTTGTTGTTAGCTTTGCCAGGTATATAAATTTTAAAATCATTATTTATATAATATAAGTTATTATTTTGTGAATGCTTATTCATTTAGCTTCTTATTTTTCATTCTTTCTTACATTTCTGTTATATCATTTAGGGATATTTTTTCTTCTGCTTAACATCTACCTATAATATTCTGTAATTTTAAATCTTCTGGTGGTAGATTCTCAAAATTATATTTTCCCTCTTTTTTATTTTTATATTGAGGGCTATTTTTGCTGAGTATAATTCTGTGTTGTCAAGTGTTTGACATATTTAAAGTTCATTGGTTCTTTCAAAGTGTTACTTCTTTTTCCTTTTATTGCCTTGATTACTCTGTTCTTGCCTGTTTTTCTAGAATCTAGATGTCTCTGGTCTCTACCGTCTAGGTAGCTCTCTGATGCTTCAGTCTGATTAAAAATAAAATTATTCAGTTTCTTTTTCATTTGTTCCTATAAGGAAGTTACAAACTAGTTTAAGAATGTTGAAAATATAAATCCTACATGTGTAGATATCTATGATACACACATAGGTGTATGTGTTTATTTGTGTATATATGTACATTCAGTATATGTATTTAATTTTTAATTTTATGTGTATAAGTGTTTTTCCTGCATGTATGTTTGTATACCATTTGCATGCCTGGTGCCTAAGGAGATGTCAGATTGCTTAGGATTGGAATTACAGATGGTGGGGAGCCACCATGTAGATGTTGGGAATTGAACACTAGGACTTTGAAAAAATTGGAAGAGCAACAAGTGCTCTTATTCAGTCAGCCACTTCTCTGATATATATTCATATACATATACATATACATTTAATTTGTTGAGAATTTCATAGTGCACATAATGTATTTTTATTTATAGGTACTTTCAACTAAAAATTCTAACTCCTTCCAGATCCACCCCCATTTCTCTTCCAACTTCCTGTTCTGGTTTTAAGGGTTTTTTTGACCTAATGAGTCCAGCTGACACCGCCCATAAACTCAAGGGTGTGGGAGCACCCACCAGAGCTCCTTAGACCTACCAGGGGCCACACCTTAAAGAAAACAATCTCTCCTTACCACAAAACCCACTGGCTGTCAACAGCTCCCCAGCTAGTGATATGGGCTGGTGAGACTTCCCTGTGGCCAGCTGATGCTGACTGGCAACATAATTTGATATATATTTTCTTTTAGAATAAATTCTTGTGGCTGATACACAGAAATTCTAGTGATTTACTTTTATAGGATTTCCCAGCAGCACACATTCAAATCAGATGACTGTAAGGAATTTATTGGATAGTCTATATGCCTCCCCTTCTTTGTTAGTTTAAATTTGCACCAAATGTAGATGAACATCTGGTGACTACTATCCAGTATTTGCTCTTTCAGTGAGTTCTATTTGATCGAGGAAGTTCTTTCCTAAAAACATAGATTGTAGTTTTTAACACTGTTAGAAGTTGAGCTAACTTGAAAGGCCTTTTCTGATTGATCAGGGTAGTTATATAGTTTTTTAAAATGCATTTTCAGGTGTGATGGATTACATTAATATATTTTCTAAAGTCAAGACATATAACCATGGCTGACTGAAACTCAGCCAGGTCAATAACATAAGTCATAATTTCAATAATACCCTATATTTGGTATAAATTAATGAGAGTATAAATTAAAGCAGTCATGTTTGGAAGCAGTATGGCGCTGTCTTGTCTGTTTGCTCTGTTTTAAACTGTATCTACTCAGACCTTAGGTCCAGGGAATTCACTGTGTGTAGATCACAAAAGACCTCTTACTGAGGCCCATAAAAAAAATCCCTGATAAAATTTTATTTCAGTAGACTATGTAATTCTGTATGTGAATAATATGGACATTAATTTGTATTACTAGTTATAAAATTGTTAAGAAAATCTCCTGGAAGAAGTCATCTGGCATTCAGAAGCCATCCCCCCAGGCTCTCGTTCAAGGGGAAGAGCTAAGTGGGGGAAGTAACAGCGTGGTAAATCTTCCCCACCACCGTTCTTCCTGTATAGTAAACACCTTCACAAAGCAAAACGTCCAAAGACAAATTTTAAAAGATGCCGCTGCTTTTCTGACTTAAGAAGACAACCTTCTATGGAATGGCACCAGGCCAGCAGGACAACTCCCTCCCTTTAGAAAGCTTTCCAGACAATTCTCCACCACACTGAGCTTTCTCAAATCCCATGATCCCATGGCATATTCACATCTACCCCATCAGGATACTATCAATGGAGAAAAACCAAGCTAAGCAGTACGATCAGTTGCAAAAACATATAGCTGATTATTTGCTGTGGGGCTTTTCCCCAGGTAGATGTGACAAGCATCTGCTCATGCCAGATACTGCACAGAGAGCAGTCAAAGGCACAGTCCCTCCCAAGTCTATCTAAGTGAACCCATGGTTCTACAGGGTTACTTACAGGAAGGAGCATGGTGACCCAAAGCAGTCCTGTCACCGGGAACCCACCGCAGTGTGGGTGAGAACTGCATCAACTGTCCCTGCTGCTCTCTGACAGAACCTGCAGGCAGCTCCTCTGGGCCATCAGTTGTTTATTGCTTTTACAACTTTTGGGAGGAGCCTTGCAATCTTGCAGCTTTCTGAGCTTCTAGAACTTGTTTTAGATTCTTAGAACTCCCTTCTAGGAAGGCAGGCTTTAATTTGAAGGAAATCGTTACATGATCCTTTGTAGCAGAACCAACCGAATATTGTCGAAAAAAATAGTAAAAATAAAGGATGCAGAGGAAACAGCCTTTCTTTTGATTTGTATTTAGTACAAATAAAACTCTGCCAAACTTACCTTCCTCTTTTCCTCTATCTGTAACAGCCTTTTCTTTTTCCACTGGATGCTCTAGTAGTCTGGTTGTCTGGAGGGACAGGTGTGATACGTCCTCCTTCCTTGGCCTATTTTAACTTTCAAAATTAATGTAGTTAACAATGAGAGCTTTGTGTTTGTGCAATGTGGCAAAACTTTATTGACTGACAGAGAAAGAAGAGCAAGGGAGGGGGGAGCAAAGGGAGAAGGGGAGGAAGAGAGAGAGGAGAGAGGCAGAGGGAGGGAGGGAGGGAGAGGGGACAAGAGAGGGAGAGGGAGAGAGCACAGAGCAAGTCAAGACAGCAGAGCAGAGGAAAGAAAGACCGGAAGGACATGAGTCACCATTTCCCTTCGCTGCATTGAGTTCTTCTTTCTTGTTAAGCTTCTCTTTCATTACAACACCCAAAATGGGGGAGGCGGGCTAGAGATCAGCCTTGATTTGGTGACAGACCCTAACAACTAGCAGCTGTTTCCATGTCTGTGGACAGAAGCAAGGGACTTAATACCTACCCCAAAGGGACCCTTGAGTGCCTTAGGTCCAGTATGACAGTAGGAAGGGTTACCAAATGGGAGTCACTAAATACATATAAAAACTCACACCCCCAAAACAGGGCGGGAGTCTCCTAGCCCTGGAGTCTTTCCTCTCCCTGGGGAGCGGGGACAGTCTGTAATGCTTGCCATGAAGTTTGCTTTTGTTTGCTCTGAGCTCTTTTAATTCTTCAGTCTATGGACAGAAAGAAGCCACATGCTAGCCGGCATCAGTTGTCACCAAGCAGCAGCAAGCTGTCACCTCAGCAGTGAAGCCTATAGGGTTCTTGGTCTCCATCTTGACAGCTTAGGGAGGGTCTAACTCACTCCCAGCCCCACAGGGACACAGAGAAGGTCTCAGTTGAAGGAGAATTCCAACAGAAAATTCTGTCCTATTCATCGTTTAAAGGACTGCTAGAAGAATCTGATTCATGTAATGTGTCTTTAAGGAAGGGGTAGGGAGAAAAATTCCATGGCCAGTGCAGTCTTGAGCATCACAGGGACCTAGAAAGGAGGGGAAGGGTAGACAGAGAAACAAGACTCTGCGTTCACTTCAAGAATGAATACTTTTTATGTTTCCCTTCGCTGTCTATACATTGTTGTGTTAGCGACTGGAGAGAGCCTTGCCAGCAGAGCTTGAGCGAACAGTGCCTTTAACCTCCTTCTCTGATTTTTCCTTCTGCACTTTGCTGGCTTTATGGCTTTGTTTTGTCCCAAGGGCATTCCTCCCAGACTTTATCTAGTGTTAATCAGATTTGTTCATTAGTCACCAGGCCCTATCTGGATCAGAGTTTGTGCTTGAGTGATGAACTGCTTGAGTAATAAACATCTGGACTCTTAGGGAGTAAGTACAGAAGAAGGAGGGGGAGTGAAATAACAATAAAGACATCTGAGCAAGTCATAAGAAAACACGCTATTAGCATTATTCATAATAGCCAGAACCTAGAAACAACCTAGATGCCCCTCAACCGAAGAATGGATAAAGAAAATGTGATGCATGTAAACAATGGAATACTATTCAGCAGTAAAAAGCAATATCATGAAAATCTCAGACAAATAGATGTAACTAGAAAATATCATCCTGAAGGAGGTAACCCAGACTCAGAAAGACAAACATGGTATGGACTCACTCATATGTGGATACTACATGTAAAACAAATGATAATCAGACTACAGCCCACAGCTCCAGAGAAACTAGCTAACAAGAAGACCCCTAGAGAGACTCATGAATCGCCCTGGGAAGACGAAATAGATGAGATCTCCATGAATAAACTGGGGGTGAGGGGGAACAGTAGGGGATAGGGGATGAGAACATAAGTGAATGGGATGGTCCACCTGGAACATGGATGGAGTGGGAGAGCAATAAAAAAGATACCTTGATAGGGAGAGACATTATGGGGATAGGGAGAAACTTGGTACTAGGGAAGTTCCCAGGAATCCACAATGAACACCCCAGTTTAGACTACTAGCAATAGTGGAGAGGGTGCCTGAGCTGGCTTACCCTGGTAATCAGATCGGAGAATACCCTGACGGTAATCATAGAGCCTTCATCCACTAACTGATGGAAGCAGATGCAGAGATCCACAGCCAAGCACCAGGACGAGCTCCAGGAGTCCAGTCGAAGAGAGGGAAGAAGGATTCTATGAGCAAGGGCTGGCGGGGAAGGAGGGGTCAAGATTATGATGGAGAAACCTACAGAGACAACCATATCAAGCTAGTGGGAACTCATGAACTTCAAATCAACAGCTGTGGAACCTGCATGGGACTGGACAAGGCCCTCTGCATAAGTGAGACAGTTGTGTAGCTTGATCTGCTTAAGGATCAGGCAGTAGGATCAGGCTCCATCTCTGGATCATGAGCTGGCTTTTTGGAGCCCATTACCTATGGTGGGACACCTAGCACAGCCTTAAAGCAGAAGGAGGGGCTTGGACCTGCCTCAACTAAATGTACCAGGCTCTGCTGACACCCCCCATGGGAGGCCTTACATTTTTGGAAGAGGGTATGGGGGATGGGTTGGGGGAGAAGGCTAGTGGGGAGGGAAGGTTGGAAGGAAGAGGGGGATCTGTGATTGGTATATAAAATGAATAAAAAAATTTCTTAATAACAAAAGTAATCATGCTATTAATTATCAAAATAACCCTATAATACACATCATTTTGTATATAAATATGCATATAGAATTTAAATTAAGTTTTCTAAATTGGGTTACCAATGCTCCCTCCAAAAGCCAAAGACCATCTAACAAAACCCCCTATACTAGACATGAGGAGCCCTCTTTTGAGCTGTTGGTCAGGGCTGTCCAAGAGAATCCAAAAACATACAGCCTATTGCTAGTGCCCTTGGTTACTCCCCAGAGGTGGAAAGTAAGTCCCTACTGCTGAAGATACCATGCAGTTCAGAAACAGGGCCCAGAGGCCCCTGAGCTGGAACTGACCTTCTTGAGGACTAGCTGTTATAGTGCCAGAGAGGCTTTGCAACCTTCCAAAGGAGGGAAGCCACCAACAGTCCTACCCCATTGATGTCTATGAACCACAACAACGACCAGCCTGGTACAATAATTCTAAGGGTACAGTAGAGGCACACATGCCTTGTCCGTAACCAACAGCTCTCCATCTGGACTGAAAACTCACTGAACAAGAGGGAAACCATGCCTGGTAATAGAAACCTAGCTGATTCCTCACTGCTGGTGAAGTCATGGATCTTGGAGGAGAACCTATAAACACAACTTTACTAAACCAGCATAATCCCTAACAACAATCTATAAGCATTTGTCCTTCTACCCACAGATAATTAAAGTCTTTACTCCTCATCAAGGAAACTTCTCTTTGCAAGAGATAGAGACCATTAAAGAAAACTACAAGTAATCAAAACGCAGAGTTGTAGAGCCCAGTCCCAGGGGATAAGACACAGCTCCCCCTAACTAAGGCTTAGGGAACACTGTTGAAGAGGAGAATATATAGAAAGATTGTGAGAGCCAGGATCAGGGAGTCTGCTCTGAGATTGTGGTCTCCTGCTAATGTCAAAAGCTATACTCATAAATCTTACCACTATAACTGTGAACTGAACCAGGAAGATACCAATGGACATGCCACAGTGGATGGGGAAAAGCCCATGAGGCCTCAACCCTACACAAAGAAGTACAGGCAACTAAGAAATGCCTGGAGGAGGGAAAATGGTCTTCCTCAGGGAAGATCAGCCAATTGGTTATCCAATGCCAAATGGTCAGTCCTGAAAATATGCATATGCAACATTGTATAGACTGTTATACAAATACAAAATACAACATTGTATAGACTGAGCAGGTTATATTTGGGAATATAATAGCACTTAATAAAAAAAAGGAAGCCATTATTTGAAAAAGAGTATGGAGGGGTATATGGGAGGATCTGGAGGGAGTAAAGGAAAGGAGAAACAATGTAGTTGTATTATAATCTCACAAATTAAAGAAAAAAAAAAAAAAGAACTTCTCAAAGCAAGGACTCAACCTCTCCAAGTGCAGGAATCTTCCTCCCACAATCCCTTAAAATTTCCTGAGATGATGTTCTGCTGTGGGATGTTCTATATGTTAAATGTGTTGCTCTGGGGCTGGAGAGATGGCTCAGAGGTTAAGAGCACTGACTGCTCTTCCAGAGGTCCTGAGTTCAACTCCCAGCAACCACATGGTGGCTCACAACCATCTGTAATGAGATCTGGTGCCCTCTTCTGGTCATACATGCTGTATACAAAATAAATAAATCTTAAAAAAAAAAAATGTGTTGCTCTGACTGGTTAATAAATAAAACACTGATTGGCCAGTAGCCAGGCAGGAAGTATAGGCGGGACAAGGAGAGAGGAGAATTCTGGGAAGTGGAAGGCTGAGGCAGAGAGAGACTGCCAGCTGCCGCCATGACAATCGAGATGTAAGGTACCGTTAGGCCACGAGCCACGTGGCAACTTATAGACTAATAGAAATGGGTTAATTTAAGATATAAGGACTACATAACAAGAAGCCTGTCATGGCTATACAGTTTGTAAGCAATGTAAGCCTCTATGTGTTTACCTGGTTGGGTCCAAGTGGCTGCGGGACTGGCGGGTGAGAGAGATTTGTCCTGACTGTGGGCAAGGCAGGAAAACTCTACCAGCAATATTCCTTTTTGAAAGTGGGAACACTTTTCAGCAAGAGAGATAACTTCTAACTCACCTGCCCAGTTGGACTTGAATGAAACCATCCTCCCCATCAACCCCCATCTTGCAGATTGTTCTGCAACAGGTTGCTGGTAGAAGGACCTGCAGGCCCCAGTAGTGACTCTAGTTCATTCCTCTCCTGCAATGGGTCTTAGGTCTTAGAGGTGGTGACACAGATTTCTGATTATTTTCTTCCATTTATGACTGAGTGTTGGGCCACCTTAACAGTCACCAGACATAACCAGCTTGACTGGATGAGTGCAGTGACCACCACCCTCTGCAGAAATGAGGTTTCCCTCCATGCTGCAGGCTAATGGCACTAGCAATCTACGGGTAAGAACAACATCTTCAAAGGCAATTTTGTAAGGATCCTGGCTGGAATATGCAGGTATTTGAAAGGGACTCTGTGCCTTTCTTTTTTTTCCTTTTAGCTGTCAGACTACAGCAACAAATGTTTCCAAGAAATTGGAGTTTTCCAGGAACCTCATGCTGGGTATCAGAAAAGGTGATACCATTCTGAGGAAGACAGTATCTTCCAGAAAA